AGTTTAGACTTGACAATCATATCATCAATATATGCCTCGACATTTCTCCCAATTTGATCAAAGAACACAGTGTTTATCATTCGCCGGAAAGTGGCCGGGGCATTCTTAAGACCATTCGGCTTTTTAAAAAGCACCACATTTGCAACCCAGTCTGGGAAGTAACATTGCCGAATGAACCCTGCATCAAGTAATATTTTAACTTCGGCGGCTGCCGCCTGACTTCTTTCTTCGCCATGGTTCCGCTTCTTCTGCCGTACCGACTTCTTTTTCGGATCCACGGCCAGTTTATGTACCGCCAGATCAGGACTAATGCCTAGCATTTCATGGACTTCGAATGCAAAGATGTCCTTGTATTCTTTCAATAGTTTGTGAAAGTCGTCACCCAGGACTCTCAGAGCAGTCGTCCCAACTTTGACTGTTCGCTCAGGACGTGAATCGTCTAAGATCAAGTTCGTATGCTCACCAGCCGGCGGAGGGCGGAATTCATCCGACCGCTCCTCTGCCAATGATTGCTATTTTCTGTCTTTTCTTGCGGCCCCTGTCTGGGATGCCTTTCTCTTCTTGCCGCCTGCTTCTTGAACAGGCGCACTCTCCTTGACATTGTCAAGGTCTATTTTTCCACCACTCGACCCTGTGGCCTTAACAGTGGGCTTGACATCCGAGAGATAGCACTCTCGGGCCATCTTCTGATCTCCCCTTAGGGACCCGACTGTTCCATTATCCCTCTCAAACTTGAGCAACATAAGAGATGGGATTATAACAGCCTTGGAATTATTCAGGGTTGGTCGTCCCAGAATCATGTTGTAGGCCGAGAGTTCTTCTACTACCAGGAACCGGACTACCATGTGTCGTCCTTCCCCTTTTTCGCCCAGGCGGATGGGTAAATCCACTCGTCCCACTGGATGGACGACTCCTCCTCCAAACCCTACTAAAGGGTATGATGCCGGATGTATGCAGTCAGTCTGATATTTTAGTTTCGACAGACATTTGCTACTGATGAGATCTGAGGAGCTTCCGGTATCTATGAGGATTCGGCCAACTCTCTGGTTGGCCACTTTACATTCAATAACGATAGGGTCGTCATGCGGCCCTCTTACCCCTCCTAGATCTTCTTCAGTGATGACAATCTCAGGAAATGAATTTTTGGAGGGTCGTTCTTGGTGAACGGAATTTACATCTAACCGTCTGATGTTGTCTTTGTTGCCCCTAATAGTGGGGCCGCCTCCTGAGAAGCCGCCTGCAATGGTGTAGACGACTGCATCATCTGTATCGGAGCTGTCGGCCTGTTGATTCTTTTTGGTCGACTGCTTTTTTGAGGAAGTGTTCCCCGTAGATTTCTTGACATAAGTGTCAAGATCACCTTGCTCAGTCAGGCGGTCCAGATACCGCATGAGACTGATGCATTCATTGGTGTGATGACCAACATCTTCATGATAAGCACAGAATTTATCTTGGTTCCGGTTGTTTGCAGAACCCTTCATGGGGACCGGCTTCTCAATTGAGATTCGTCCCTTGATTTCCTTTAGGATAAACTGGCTATCCTTGTTAAACGCATACTTTGGGGAGAATGGTTTGAATTCTTTTTTCTTTTTCTGGGCCAGCTGTTTAGAGGAATCAGCCGCCCAGACCTCTTTTCTCTTCTCGTCTTTGTTTGACGACTGTTTATGTCGTCCTTCTCTTTTGTTGGACCTTTTCCCGTCTGACTGTTTTACCGTACAAAGATCAGTCGCCTGTATATAGGCTTCCGCTTCAATCAAGGCCTCTTGAAGAGTCGCCACCCTCTTTCGGACCAAATCAAATTTGAAGGTCGACCCGTCTTTGAGACCTCTGAAAAAGTCAGTATAGGCTACTTCATCCGGTAACCCTTGAATCTGTATTCTCATCAGGTTAAACCGCCTGATGTAAGAACGAAGCCCCTCCTTCTCGCCCTGCTGAATTGTTCCTAAATCAAGGGTCGTCTTCTTCGCAGGGATGTTCATGGCGAAGTTGGAGGTGAATAAGTAGGCAAGCGTCTTGAAGTTATTTACACAACCAGTCGGCATGTTGCCGAACCATTGTTGTGCGATTCCTTTGAGAGTCGCTGGGAAACACTTGCACCAAGTGGGATCATCCAACCCTTGAAGGTACATCAGGTTGGTGAATGCCATCAGATGGTCTTCTGGGTTAGCAGTGCCGTCATAGGCGCCTACTAATACATTTTTCACTTTGGCCGGCTGAGCGGCTTCAGTAATTTCCTTGGAGAAGGCCGACGGCTGTTCACCAAGTCTAAGCAACCGTAGCTGCCAGTCCATAGGTTGGACACTTTTTGCTGCATGTCCACCAAACGGAGGTGGCTGTAAAAAATACTGTTGTTGCGGTATAAACGGTAAGTTTGGTACCGCCTGGTCGCTATGAAAGCCGGACTGACGGGAGGTGCCACCTGACTGACTCTCATGATACGACTGAGTATGCCTCATCGAGGTATTTCGCAGATTGTCTTGGAAGTTTGAAGTAGAGGCCGACTCTGACAATCGGCTACTCTTCTTCTGCTCTAGCAGTAGCCGAGCGTCTGTGTATGTTTTCCTCGACCCGTCCGCCTGAATATGACGAACAAGTTTCCTATTTCCTGGAATAGGAAAACGGTATTTTGTGAAATCAAGGGCAGGTGGCTCCCACTTCCTAGATTTAGGATGAGGGGTCGCCTCTCGCCCTTGAACTTGTTTCCTCTTCAGTGAAGTGGAGGGTTTCTTAGCCGACTGCTCCTTGTCCAGAGCAGGCGGCTTCTTGTTGATCAACTCTTGAATTTCTCCCTTGAAGTCCCTCATGAAGGTCATGAGTTCGTTCCTTGTGATGGGAGCAGACCCATCAGTCGGCTGCTGCCGAACAGGCGGTGCGCCTGCTGGCTCACTTCCAGTTTGAAGATGTTCCCGTTCCCTCCTTTCGGTATGACGGGTACGTCGGGCCCTTAGGGTCCCGTCTGAAGCTGTGTGAGCTTCAACTTCAAATTCATTCTCAGTATCGTGGTCCGACTGAACTTGAGGGTCGTCTAGGGGACGCCTCTCTTTAGGAGTCGGTACAGACTTGGATGCCATCTCAGAAGTACTCTCCCCACAGACGGCGCCAAATGTTTCGGGGTTTTCTGATGTCCTGCGGGAGAGTTACAATTCCGAGACTGGAACCGGACGCCTGTACCTGCAAAACAAACGGATGCTCCGGATGGTTGGAGATCCGCCTCCGACGGTCAAGTTAGTACTTGATTAAGGAGTAATTAATGCGGAAATTAAAGTGATTGGGTCTCTCTAGGTGAGAGTGTTTAATGTGCGTAATCTGCGTTTTTAGCGTGTTATCTCCCTTAATGAGGATTAAGGGAGGTATTTATAACCTTGGGAAACGTGCCAATCCTAGGTTTAGGTTAACCTAGGGCTGATTGGGCTTCCCTCGAAAGTTGGGCCTGGGTGGCCGGTTTCTCCATTAGGCATGGAGTATGCCACGTGTCATGACATAATAGGTCCAAGGTGGACGAATAAGCGTGTGCCACGTGGCAAGCCCTGACAGTTCCAACTGGGGGACACTTGGCAGGACTTGATTGGCCCACGTGGCGCATTCCGATTGGTGGGAGCAAAATCCCCTAATCAAATCCAGTTCCAATTTTTTTGATAAAAACCTGTTGGAATCCCGTCTGTCCCCGGTGCTTTCCACGGTTTCATAGCAAAAAGAGCATTTTTGATCTCCTTTCTTGAGTACGGTTTGGAGAGCATATCTCTCTGATCCTCAGTGAGATTTCTTGTGATTCCTCTAACTCCTTGTTCAATTTCACCCCTCCTGGTGCCATTAATAGGAGGGTCACTTCCCCCATATATGTTCTTGAAGTAGTTTGCTGCTATCCCTGCAATTTCATGTTCTTCAGTAATCCATTCTCCATCCTCTCCCCTGCATAATTCCAATTTATTTTTGCTCTTTGTCTCCAATAAACAACGAGATTCGAAGAGTATTCCTCCAATTTTTTGTTGATTTCCTTAAACTCCTCGTCATTACCTTCGTCTTCCATGATTAATTGGGCCTCTAATAAGTCTTTTTCAAATTTATCCCAAGTCCCATTCCACTCCTCCATTTTATCAAGAGTCCACCTCTTAATTTCCTTTTTCGCTTGTTGAGTTCTTCGCATTAGTTTGTACATAGGGGATCCATTCTGATTTACCTGCCATCCCCTTTGTGTTGCTTCTATGCATTCACTGTAATTAAGGCTCCAATGTTCCAATTTGTAGTTGCTCCTTTTTTTCTTTTTTGAGTGTTGATTGTTAAAAATAATTGGAGCATGATCCGAGATTTGAATGGGGTTGTGTATGATGTGAGCGTGTGGGAATTTATTTAGCCAACAAGGATTAGCGTAACCCTTGTCTAATCGTTCTAAAACTAGCTCGTTCCCCTCTCTCCCATTAGACCAAGTAAACTTAGGCCCCTCATAAACGATATCATGTAAATGATTTAAGGCTTTCCATTCATTAAACAAATTTGCACCTCTTGTGGAAGACAATTTCTCCCCGGATTTGTCTAATTGTGTATCTACTTGGTTGAAATCGCTTACTAAAGTGGTTGGTAAATTAATGTTTGGATTAGTCCATTCATTGAGACAATCCCAAACTTCCCCCCTTTGTGAAGTACTAGGTTCCCCGTACACCAAAATCAACCTCCATTTTCCATTAATAATATCGTTGACATCTACAACAATGAAGTTGACATAAACAAAAACAACATCAAACAAAGTGTTGTTTTTCCATCCTAGCCACAAACCACCACTAAGATCCCTAGGATTGACACCTTTATAAAAATTAAAACTAAGCTTCTAAGACGATTAAAGACTACATCCGAATTACTTTTAGTTTTCGAAAGAAAAAATGAAATCCGGGTCAAAAGACCCAACAAGTCTTTTCAAAATGGGAATAATCGGGGTAGTTGGGCTTTTAATCCCCCGACAATTCCAAATAAGGCTGACCATCGCGCTAGAGGTGGTTGAATTGGGTCAACCACCGCAAGCCCATCTCCTGTGTAAGACAAAACAATGTTAGCTTCAAAAGTAAAATTATTTTTGCCCATTTGAAATATTTTCAGTTTTAAGCTGCCTCGCCTCCATTGAAATCCTCCTTACAGCATCTTGTGAGTTTTCACTCCTACATTGAAGCAACTTCTGCGGTAAGAGGTCTTTTCTACGAATGTTGATGAGTTATTGAACGATTTCCCTAACTTTATAAAATGTGGTTAATTGATTCTGATTATAAATTTTAGGTCTAAGAATTCTGCCATTGATGAGTTCGGCGGCAGCGCTAAAGAATGTGGTGGCATCGGCAGTGGTGAAAGGAGTGGCTGAAGCAAGGGCACACATATTTGGGCATGTCCTTAACCTTACTGCCCAACGATCCGCTCATAAGGTACTTAGGAAGAAGCTTATTGGTGACAAAGTTGCTGAGTGGTACCCTTACGATGTTAAGCATGATGACCCTCTTATCATGGATCGCCAACAACAAGAGTATAACTACTACTTTTTCATTTCTTGATTCATTTTCTTTGTTCGTCTTTTGGCATTATGTTACTTGGTTATACATGTCTACCATCTGTTCGAATGTTCGCCAATGCTTTTGTCTGTGTTGTTGTTCAGTGAGTTTTGTTTGCGGTGTTTATCTGTTAAGTAATTGAGTAACAATGAGTAGAAATATGGTAGGTTTAAATGGGACGAATCGAAAGGTAAGAGACGGGGAGGGAAAGTGATGGATTTAGTTTCTGTTTTGATATGGGTTGAGGGAAGGAATGGAGTGGAACATAAAGGAAATGTAGGGATTGAATTCCGTACTTTTTAATTAATCAAATTATTCCGTATTAGGAAAAGGGTTAGAGGGGGAAATGCAAGCTCATTTATTCTTTTCAAACACAACAGTGTCGTGTATTGTAAGAATACATTAGTGAAAGGGAGGGGAAGGGAAGAAATTCATAATTATATTGGAGAAAAGTGGCTTCCCACCACCATTAGTATCCAAACATACTAATAGAATATTTGTATTTTAAATTTGAATAAGAGTGGCTATTGATTGGATTGAAGTATGCTTAGTCTTCAATTTCTTTGTTTTTCGAGAGAGTCGCAAGTTGAAGTAATCAGTAATTACTATATAACATTTGGGTACTTTATGCAAATTTAGGTTCTCAATAATGTTGTCTACAAGTTGGCTTTTATGTTTATCTCTCAAGGTCTATAGTGGCCGTGTTTGTAGGTATATCAGCAGGGGCAACTCAAATTTTATACTAAGACAATGCATCCCAAATATAAATTCAGCAACTCAAATTTTATACTAAGACAATGCATTTTATGGATACTTAGATCAATGACCCTAGTTAATTTCCTACTCTGAGGCACTAAAGGATGGTTTAGAAGGTACGGAACATGATTGGCTTGGGCTGCATCCCAAAACTTACTTTTTTTTTTTTTTAATGAACATGTAAAACATGCAATCAGTAACCCATTACACGGACAGTGGAGTTTTGTAGTATTTTGAAATAGCTATGTAGGAATGGCCGGTAAAAAGTAGCAACAAATAAGTAACTATTACTGTTCAAATTTTCGAGTTACTATTATAAAGTAAATCATGAAATTGATGAAGGGTGATGATATATGAAGATTATTAATACTAATAACATTATGTTTATTGACTAATTGAAACTTCAAAATTATGCAAATTCTAGCAACTTGTGACGAGATAAGTAGTGGGGATAAATAAGGAAGTAAAAGGTCAATGAAGATGGATAAAAGTTAAGACAGTGCAACTCACTTGGAAATTTAAAAGTGACATAGTGAGAATCTAGAATCACAAATCTGATAATCTATGTTAATAAATTGCCAGATTCCCTTTCGCCATATAGTTGCTTGTAAAATATATTCAAGCAACATATTGGTAAACAATAAGCTTTCACTCAATTTTTCCTATCTTTTTGGGCCAATTGGAAAAATCTCATCTTCTGTCAAAATTTAGAAGGTTGCACTTGTACAAACACAAAGTAATCCAAAGCCACCTGATACTACTTATATAAATCCTTTTAATTTTCTTAATTATTGTGCACTTAGACACTTCATCAATTGCACCAAACACATTTTATACATTGTTATGCACCCATAAGTATATCAAGTTCAACACAGGGTTAAGTCTTAAACAAACTCTTGTTTGGTGAATTCTTCAACTTGTCAATGGAATAGAGGTGTTCTTGTTTGCATCAATAGATAGATTTAATTGGCAAGGCCACCCATTGAATTAAGTTAATCTTGTTAATTTGGTAAGAAATCCATTAGGCAACTTCTAGGAGTTGGTCTTTGCTTTCATCACTTTATTCTTTTTACTCATTTTGTCAAATTAGATTAGAAAAATTCACACCAGCTAGACCAAAACAAGAAAATTCAGAGAGAACCATAAAGATATGACTTTCAAAGACAAAATTAAGACGCTGCAAAAATATAAAGATTTAGGCATGAGAATTAGACCAAACCTTACTTGCCACATCACAGCATAAAAGATTCATATTTGAACACCTACACAAGGTGATTAGAGTAAAGCCTTAGTAAAGAAATTATCTTCATGTCAATGTTTGAATAAAGTGAGGCATAAATCCATATCAAAAATTATGTCTGAGCAACTTCTCACATTTCTTGTACATAATCCATCCTTTTTTCTAGCATTACCTTGTCAAAATCTCTAGCATTCAAGAGCATACTTACTACCTTTACTTGGGTGGCAAAATATGCAAAATGCAAGTTTGAATTTTGTCTTACCTAGGTCACTAATTTATTTTGTGCATGTTCTTGATATGGTCTACCTAGGAAGAAATGACATGAATTCCTAAGTGATTTCTCAAAAATCTTTCTTGAGGTCTTGCCTTTTGAATATTTATGCAAGCTTACATATCATCAAATGACAAGGTGGCATATCAATGTGCAACACCTCTGCCATATCTCCATCATCATTCTGTATAGTTATATATCAAGTATAACAACCTCATGGTCTCAGTTATCTTGGTGTGATATAAAAGTTTGAAAAGATCTGGAAAACACTGAAAATTTTCCAGAGTAGCTTTGTAACTTTCGGTAACAATTAAGGTATGCAGGATAGTACATCAATCTTGAATCAGCACAAGGTACAGAATGAGGTTTTATGTATGGGTCGAAATTATCTATTTAAAGCCATCTCTTTGTTGCTTCATCAAATCCATTTACTTTCAAAAACAAATTTCTTGGATAAGAAAGAATTGAATGAACTGTTAAAGTGGGCAAAAGAAGCAAAATGAAGTTTTTTCTTCCCAGTTTACAGTGTGTAGTTGTTTATCTTGAAAATGTTGTCGAATAGCCATGACTTGCTGCTAAGAGCAATGTGTATGACCTAAGTGTGACAAGCTGAAGTAAAAAAGTCACTGTTTTTCTCTTAAGGCCTTTGTTTGTGAATGAACTGGTCTTAAGTTTACTCAAAGGTTTTCTTTTGGCTGTTATCCATAGCTTGTTATTCTTTATTCAGTCATTTTAATCTTCTTTTTTATTTCTATTTTAATTTATCATTTTAAAACAATTTTAATTTAATTTAGCAATGGTTCAGTGATAGTTCATGCAGAAGTAAATGAAAGCATTCGAATACTAGTACTAAACTGAGTTGTACTTTTACTAACCAGACAGTAACAAAATATAGTTGAATTGTGCCATATATGCATAGATCAATGTTGATTTGTGGCCCATAGTTATGTATTGATGTACATACTTCTATATTTCATCGTTAGGTTTGATTTTTATATATCTTGGCTGACTTATCTACTATGCATCCAGGCGCTTGAGTAAGAATCAAATGTTGAAGCGTCGTGGAAAAGGACCTCCAAAGAAGGGACAAGGAAGGCGTGCGTCTAAACGTAACAAGTAGAGTTTTAATTGTGGCTTCCGTCTTATGAGTGAGATAAGATTACTGCATCTAAAATACCTTGTAACTTTTAATGGTTTGAGCCTACATTTTATTTCCATCTCTTGTTGATTGAACCAGCGTCACATCTTCTGTCAGATTGTTGGAATGTATTCTCAGGGTTCAAATTATGGGAGTCAAATTCTCTTTTTTTATTCATGTCTGGTTTTGTAAGGTGTTAATGCACGTTAGTGTAGTTGTCAATAATATACATTGAGATAAATACTTCTCAAGTGTGTCAACTTTTGAGAAACAGAGGGAGTAGTTGTAACAAAATCAAAACTTTTTGCTTTTAAAAGTAGTAAAACAAAGTAAAATTTGTTTAAGGCGGTTAAATGTAATAGTAGCTTTTATATAGGTAGTAAAAGAAAAAATATATATATTTTTGGGAAATTCCTCTTATTTATACAAGGAGAAAATCCAAGTTGATGTCGATAAAAAATAATCCAAGTTTATTTCATGGCAAAATTGTTGTTGGGGCCTAAGGGTGGGTGGTGTTGGGGCCTAAACGGTGGTGATTCTTCTAGCTGTAGCAGTGGTGGTGGCTAAGCAATGGTGAGATTAATGATGGGGTGGTTCCGGTGGATTTAATGGTAGATTTATGTAGTAATGTTGTGCTAACTAGGGGTAAATTAGTGATTTTGATAAAGATTAAAACTTATATTTAAACTAGTAATGTTGTGCTAACTAGGGGTAAATTAGTGATTTTGATATAAGATTAAAACTTATATTTAAACTAGTCTTCTGGCACGTGCAATGCACGGAATATTTAAAGGTGTATAGCATAATTTTTTTTTTTTTTATATATATAATATGTTTTAATTGGAAAATAAATAGTTTATAAAAGAGAAGAAAGGTGAAAATTAAATGTAATTGTAGAATATATTAAGTTAGGAGAAAATGAATGAAATAAGAAATAACAATCATACATGTATTGAATTAAAGCTATTTTTTTTTGTAATATAAAAAAGGAGATTAATTAATGAATGAAGGTGACATGTGCATTGGTGAAAAATAAAATTTACATGTGGTTTGATGGGGATGATGGTTTGTGTTTTAAAATAGTTAGTATAGATATAGATAGATATATATTAGGTAAGAGGAGCCTCCAGTTAATCAAACTACTCCTCATTAATTTACTAAAATAACCGTATTGATTAACAACATTTTGTACATCATACTTATAAACTTGATTTTCTCTATTAAATACCAACAAAAACAAATTGATTCTATTATACAAAAACAATGGGCCACATATTTTTTTTTTTTTTGAAAAATGGGCCACATATTTTAAAACAGGGCGGAATAAATATTTTCTAAATGTAACTTGAAATAATCAAAGGTCATATTAAAGAATTTCCCAATATATTTTAAAGTTAATTAAAAAATTTAGTAGTACACTAGTTTGAACTAAGTTTTTCCTCAACCAAACGAAGAAATTTGAAATTAATTGTATAAAGCCATTAGCAAGCTTAGGTTAGGCATTCGTGGCTTAACCTATCATTGCATATTAATATGGCCTAATATGCAATTAATATGGCCTAACCTAAGCAAGCTTCTTTTGTACAAATATGCTATGATAGACAAATTTCTTTTTTTTGTACAAATTTCTTCTTTTGAAATTAATTGTATAAAGCCATTAGCAAGATTAGGTTCGCCATAATAATATGCAATGATAAACAAATTTCTTCTATTGATATGCAATGATAGAAAAGTCTGTACTTCTATTGTATAAAGCCATTAGCAAGCTTAAGGTCCTAAAGAATTTTATCAGAAATAAAATTTGTGAATGATTTGCCATGGAAAAGTCCAACATGACTACATAAGCATATCAGGGATAAACTTGTCAAAGTAGAAGTTAGACAACTTTGCGATTGTTTTTTTTTTTTTCAGTTTTAGAAGAGCTAATAAACAAACAAGTCAAAATAAAATACAAAAGCTGACGTCGGGGTTTCGTGGCCAACCAATGAGCCGAGTTAACCCAAAAACGAGGAAACTTTGTAAGCCTGCACACATAATGACTCATGAAATAACCACGTCGAAGAAATGGGAACTAAACCCGAATCAGATAGCACGTACAATAAGGTAGAACAATCTGTGTACATGAGAATCCGACTATAGCCTTTCCGAATACCCATTTATAGTGCCCACAGACATGCTTGGAATTCTGCCTGCAAATCTGAAGCTGAGTAACAAGCCCTGGCACCACCTCCAAGTACTTGCGAAGAGTCAAACGACCGAAGAATCCAACCCATACCAGTACAATTGTCCAATGACGACCACGCGCCGTCAAAAATTAAACACACATCCACCGACTCAGAATATATTTCCAATAGACATGTGAGATAATAGGTACGCACAAATAGAATCTGGAGAGGAAGAGTTATTAATAGGTACGCACAAATAGAATCTGGAGAGGAAGAGTTATTAATAGGTACGCATAAATAAATTTGGCGTTTGAACTAAAAGGCCTGTGAATTTCTAGCGACTAAATCTGCAGCTATCCAAAATATCATATCCGGAGAAGAAAAAGATAGCCAACCAAATAGCCCAAAGCTGAGCAAAAAACCAAGCTTAACCGTCCCAGTATTTGGAGGACCAGAAGAGGGGCAAATTGATGTTAAACCTCCAATTTGGAACTTTTATTTTTGCCTTACCCAGACACAACTATAATCCTTCTATGGCCTTTCTATTTATCTAAGTGAGAAGCAGCTGCAGGACTTGACCAAGCACCGAAAACAGCCACTTGACCAAGCACCGATAACACATGAATGAGGACTTTTCTTTCATATAAAACAATTACTCAACACAGCTAAACTTTAGACAAATCTAACAAAGGTGAAAAACTGCAAATTTTATACATCTAAATGAATACTTTCATTCAAGCACAAAGCCATCCATTTGTAACTCGCAAACTTTCAGTTAGAGCCATCTTCAAGACTCAAGCCAGTACAGAAGAAAAGGCCAAATTCATCAATTACTTTACTCTTCGTCTTCTATCTTTGTCTCTATCTTGCCCCCTATCTCTCTGATGATCATCCCTCTCATAACCACTCTTCTCAAGGTCTTTTCTATTTTTGATCCTTTCACTGTCTGAATCTTGAGATTTAGATCTGTCCTTAGCACGGTAATCCCTGTCAGCATCTTCCGTCTCTCTATTCGATCCTCTGAGTGGTGGGCTCCCACTACGACTCGTACTGCGGTGCCGTTTTCGAGATGATTCTCGCAAATCATCTTTTTTGTCTCTTCTCTCCACTGTTCTTTCTGCAACATTGTTGAAACAGCACATCAGCATGATTTAGTAAAGCAATCAATTAAGCTTAAGTTTTTGCATACTCGATAGCTTTATTACCCAAGCTAATGAGGGAATGAACAACGAACATAACATAAAAACATAAACATCAATTTTGAAAATTTCAGAATCAGCCACAGAGAGATAGATTATCTCACATGCTATAAAAGAAAAATGCACAAACATAATGTTAGGAAACATGGTGCTTTTTCTTCCTTTTTTCCCCCTTCATTAAATGTCATGTGATTCATTTTACGAATTTTACAATACCATCCACATATAACAAATATTATAAACTTACATTTAATTTTCACTAAAAGAAATATTATATGAAATAAAATAATATGAAAATCGCTTATCTTGGTATCTCCTCTATACCATCCAGTCCTCCACCATGTACAATCTCAAAAAAAATGACAGCATCTGACCAGCCACCAGCGCCTTCCCACACCATTAGTCAGGACCACTGCATAAAAAGCCCCCCCCCCCCCTCCCATCCTCCCTTTGAACCCCCATCTCAGCAACCACATATAGCTACCACAACACCAACCCTATGACCTCTGACTTGCTGCAGTCGCCAGTTTATACTCTATGACAACCACAAAAGCTTCTGCCCCAGACATGACTCTATTAACCAACTGAAAACCCTAATGGCTGTTGCTAATTGACACCCCTCCTTTATAATGATCTGTGTTATCAGAAACATTGTGATATTGCCCATATGGGGAAAGAGATGCATCGACTGGTGGTGCAGGCCTGTGGAGATGGAATGGTAGTTAAAGTAGTTAAGAGGGCTGTTCAGTTGGTGGCACTTCGGGTTGAGCAGTGACGAATGGGAAGGGGGGGGAGCAGAGGAAAAGTATATAGGGGAAGCTTATGCTCTGTAACAACCACTGATGTTTCTGGCCCCTGATCTGCCACAGTTCACTAGCTTAACACCCAACTGGTTGTTGCTGCTCAACATCTTCACCCTTCCCTTTCTATTGCATTGTTGTGTAATCAGAACATAGTGATATGTGGAAGGAGATAGAATTTGTTATATACACCCGGGTGTACCGTACAACCCGGGTTCATTTGCTCATTTAATAAATGAACAAATAATTTGCTCATTTAATAAATGAACAAATAATTTGCTCATTTAATAAATGAACAAATAATTTGCTCATTTATTATTAAATGAGCAAAACAATATTCTTAGTTTTAAAAAGCGCGCCTAGGCACACTTGAGGCGCGAGGCGAAGCGAGGCGGTATGCAAAGCGCCTCACTGTGTAAAAGCGTGGCGCGCGCGCCTCAAGCGCTTTTGCCTTGAGGCGTGAGGCGCTGTGAGGCGACGCCTTTTAGATGTAAGCGCGTTTAAGACACGTGCAACTACAATTTATTAAAAAAAAACCCAGGCTTTAATTAAAGAAATAGAAGAGAGAGAAAACATATCTATTTGAAAATTAAAACCCTAGCTTCCAGAAACCAGGCAATTCTCGTTGGGTCTCAACCAATTCTCGCCGGAAACCTGCCAAATCTCGCCGGAACTTGCTGATTCTCGCCGGAAACGACCCAAGCTGTGGTGGATCTCGCCGAAAACCAGGTTAGCTTGCTTTTTTTTTTTTTTTTTTTTTTTCGTTTTTTGTACTGCTTTTTTTTTTTGAGGAATTGTATACCTTATTTGTTCTTTTTTTTTTTTTTTTTTTTTTTATCTTTTAACCGTGTTTTTAAAATTTGTTTTTTTATCTTCTGTGTTCTGATTTTATATTCTGTTTTTTTTTTTTTTTTTTTTTTGGCTTTCCAGTTTATTTATTTTAGTTTTTTGGTTCCAATTTTTTTTGTTTTTCTCTGTATATATATTTATTTTGTTATTGTTTTTTGTTTTTTTTTTTTTTTATTTTTTTTTTTGACGGAAATTGATACTGTTTTCTGTTATAGGCATGGATGAAGAGTCTCTTCCTTCCACCGGA